TTAAACCATGACCAATATGCAATCCACCCAGCATATACTGGGGTTAAACCATGACCAATATGCAATCCATCCAGCAAATACTGGGGTTAAACCATGACCAATATAAATCCATCCAGCAGATACTGAGGTTAAACCATGACCAATATGCAATCCATCCAGCAAATACTGGGGTTAAACCATGACCAATATGCGATCCATCCAGCAGATACTGAGGTTAAACCATGACCAATATGCAATCCATCCAGCAAATACTGGGGTTAAACCAGGACCAATATGCAATCCATCCAGCAAATACTGGGGTTAAACCATGACCAATATGCAATCCATCCAGCAGATACTGAGGTTAAACCATGACCAATATGCAATCCATCCAGCAAATACTGGGGTTAAACCAGGACCAATATGCAATCCATCCAGCAAATGCTACTGGGTTAAACCATGACCAATATGCAATCCATCCAGCAGATACTGGGGTTAAACCATGACCAATATGCAATCCATCCAGCAAATACTGGGGTTAAACCAGGACCAATATGCAATCCATCCAGCAGATACTGAGGTTAAACCATGACCAATATGCAATCCATCCAGCAAATACTGGGGTTAAACCATGACCAATATGCAATCCATCCAGCAAATATTGGGGTTAAACCATGACCAATATGCAATCCATCCAGCAGATGCTGAGGTTAAACCATGACCAATATGCAATCCATCCAGCAAATACTGGGGTTAAACCAGGACCAATATACAATCCATCCAGCAAATACTGGGGTTAAACTATGACCAATATGCAATCCATCCAGCAGATACTGGGGTTAAACCATGACCAATATGCAATCCACCCAGCATATACTGGGGTTAAACCATGACCAATATGCAATCCATCCAGCAAATACTGGGGTTAAACCATGACCAATATGCAATCCATCCAGCTGATACTGGGGTCAAACCATGACCAATATACAATCCATTCAGCAAATACTGGTGTTAAACCATGACCAATATGCAATCCATCCAGCAAATACTGGGGTTAAACCATGACCAATATGCAATCCATCCAGCAAATACTGAGGTTAAACCATGACCAATATGCAATCCATCCAGCAGATACTGGGGTTAAACCATGACCAATATGCAATCCATCCAGCAAATACTGGGGTTAAACCATGACCAATATGCAATCCATCCAGCAGATACTGAAGGTTAAACCATGACCAATATGCAATCCATCCAGCAAATACTGGGGTTAAACCATGACCAATATGCGATCCATCCAGCAGATACTGAGGTTAAACCATGACCAATATGCAATCCATCCAGCAAATACGGGGTTAAACCAGGACCAATATGCAATCCATCCAGCAAATACTGGGGTTAAACCATGACCAATATGCAATCCATCCAGCAGATACTGAGGTTAAACCATGACCAATATGCAATCCATCCAGCAAATACTGGGGTTAAACCAGGACCAATATGCAATCCATCCAGCAAATACTGGGGTTAAACCATGACCAATATGCAATCCATCCAGCAAATACTGGGGTTAAACCATGACCAATATGCAATCCATCCAGCAAATACTGGGGTTAAACCATGACCAATATGCAATCCATCCAGCAGATACTGAGGTTAAACCATGACCAATATGCAATCCATCCAGCAAATACTGGTGTTAAACCATGACCAATATGCAATCCTTCCAGCACATACTGGGGTTAAACCATGACCAATATAAATCCATTCAGCAAATACTGGTGTTAAACCATGACCAATATGCAATCCATCCAGCAAATACTGGGGTTAAACCATGACCAATATGCAATCCATCCAGCAAATACTGGGGTTAAACCATGACCAATATGCAATCCATCCAGCAGATACTGGGGTTAAACCATGACCAATATGCAATCCATCCAGCAAATACTGGGGTTAAACCATGACCAATATGCAATCCATCCAGCATATACTGAGGTTAAACCATGACCAATATGCAATCCATCCAGCAGATACTGGGGTTAAACCATGACCAATATGCGATCCATCCAGCAGATACTGAGGTTAAACCATGACCAATATGCAATCCATCCAGCAAATACTGGGGTTAAACCAGGACCAATATGCAATCCATCCAGCAAATACTGGGGTAAAACCATGACCAATATGCAATCCATCCAGCAGATACTGAGGTTAAACCATGACCAATATGCAATCCATCCAGCAAATACTGGGGTTAAACCATGACCAATATGCAATCCATCCAGCAAATACTGGGGTTAAACCATGACCAATATGCAATCCATCCAGCAGATACTGGGGTTAAACCATGACCAATATGCAATCCATCCAGCAAATACTGGGGGTTAAACCATGACCAATATGCAATCCATCCAGCGAATACTGAGGTTAAACCATGACCAATATGCAATCCATCCAGCAAATACTGGGGTTAAACCATGACCAATATGCAATCCATCCAGCAAATATTGGGGTTAAACCATGACCAATATGCAATCCATCCAGCAGATGCTGAGGTTAAACCATGACCAATATGCAATCCATCCAGCAAATACTGGGGTTAAACCAGGACCAATATGCAATCCATCCAGCAGATACTGGGGTTAAACCATGACCAATATGCAATCCTTCCAGCACAGACTGGGGTTAAACCATGACCAATACGCAATCCATCCAGCAGATACTGGGGTTAAACCATGACCAATATGCAATCCATCCAGCATATACTGGGATTAAACCATGACCAATATACAATCCATCCAGCAGATACTGAGGTTAAACCATGACCAATATGCAATCCATCCAGCAGATACTGAGGTTAAACCATGACCAATATGCAATCCATCCAGCAAATACTGTGGTTAAACCATGACCAATATGCAATCCATCCAGCAAATACTGGGGTTAAACCATGACCAATATGCAATCCATCCAGCAGATGCTGAGGTTAAACCATGACCAATATGCAATCCATCCAGCAAATACTGAGGTTAAACCATGACCAATATGCAATCCATCCAGCAAATACTGGGGTTAAACCATGACCAATATGCAATCCATCCAGCAGATACTTAGACCCTCACACACATCCCCAACAATTCATTGTACAGTAAATTGGAAGTAAATCTATAATGGTTAATATGAACTTGGTTCATTTTAAAACCACTTGGGTTTTACGCCGATTTTAGCAATATTCCAGTAATATCACGGCGAGGGACACCAGAAATGGGCTTCATGTACCCATGTGGGGAATCGAACCCGGGTCTTCGGCGTGACGAGGGAACGCTTTAACCACTGGAGGTGAGGTAAGGTGAGATGAGGTTTGGTGAAATGTGGTCTAATCTTGCGTTCAACATTATGCACCTATATTGCATCGTGCATGTACATGTGTGGTAACCTGCTTGTACTCGTGCAAGTGTTTGGTAACCTGCTTGTACTGGTTTAGACATGTGCTGATTTCATAGAGCTAGCCATCTGAGATTCCTTGCTACAGTTTAACATTGACATCCTACAAAGACACTGTTTCTAACAGACCAGTCAATATTTTGTATCCCCAGTACCGAGTGACTGCAGGGTAACGACAAGTACCATATTTTCACGTCTTTTGGTATAACGTGGGCAGGGTTTCGGACCACCGACCATCCGGTCTCCAACCAGACGCTCTTTCCACTACACCACGGAAGCTGTCTGCTTCTACATGCAATACCCGTATACGTGGTATCCATATGGTGGATCGAACCGAGGCATTAAGAGCGACCACCCTTACCATTGGCTTATCGCATCGTCAAGTTCCTTAAGGAAACATTTTAAAACAAAATAACCCATTATCCTTTAGTGGACTAACTGTCTTCCGTAAGAATTATTTGTACCGTGATATTATAGTAATCATATACATAAGGCATTAGTAGTGAGGCAAAGAATGTTATATTATATATATATGACTTACCCCCGCAAGTGTTGGAGCAGTGGGACCAGCCTGACCACTGACCATAGTGACCGTTGACTGGGGTCCGGGTCAGGAACGGACGTGTATGTCCTGCACCCCAGTCCTGGAAACATAAACGAAGTAATGGACGTACATAAATTACCGTCATCCACGATGTGTGACACGTGACGTCGACGACCACTAAGTGTGGTGCAAAAGTTGTAGGTTTATAATTTTTTCACTTCTTGTTATATACACTTCGAGTCATAGACCTCAAACACACGCTGACAACTAATCTAATTAAGATTCGATCTTAAAATCTTATGATGCCTGCACAGAATATCGCCTAAGATGTTGCTTAGCGAACACTGGTCATCACATTTACATGAAGTTTGCGTACGGTTTTGATGGATAGTGACAGCAAACTATGATACAATCCTGAAACGAATCCTACCAGACTAGCTACCCCTATAGTAAATCCCCATGTCATTATTGTGTATATATTATAGGCAGTGTTACCCTTGGTGGTTGACTAGCCGTGGCCTGCAGGGTGTTCTTGTGGAGGGCGTGAACTCCAGTCTGTGAAAAATGAATAATAATTGTAGGACATTGACGACATATAACGGGCCGGTTACCCAAAGCGATCAGCACAACGACTGAGGTAGGTTTTCGTTAAAGTATGAAATTTACGATTACCTCAGGTTTGAGGTCGCGTAGTGGTATGGGACCCAGGTCATTTGCTCAGTGTTGAGACTCGTTACACAAAGATATGACATTACGGCTCCCATAATGCAACACATACTTACGACAATCGTAGTGCTAATCTCGCTTTGTGAAAGAGGACGCTGACTGTACATATAAGGGTATTATCATCTTATTCAGTTAAACAGCACACATACAATTTTATTGTTCAGGTCACTGGTATAAAGATGCGCCTATGTTCATATTTTATTTGTGTTCTTATTATTGATTTCGTATTACTTGTACATAAAATACCAAAAAGAATGCTACTTGATTTAAGCGCTTGAATTTACATATTTCAGAACACTGATTTCTAGGTATTACGATGGCGTACAACAGGTGCCCGTCTGTACGGTCCATATGCTCTGGAGGAACAGTCGCCGTCGTGGAGGTTGCCGGAGAGGACCTGGATGCGTACGTAGGGACAGCCGTCGGGACAAGCGTCCGTCTCGTTGTTGTACCTCTCATGGTTGTTGAACATCTTGAAGAACATCAATCTGTGGGACATACAATACAACCCTATGTTGATTATCGGTTTCTTATGACGGTAGGGCAATGTCAGTATCTAGTAGTTTGTTGGACGGGGAGGCCGGGGTCTCGAGTCTGGGACGGGCCTTTGTGAAGACACATTGGCGCCACGCCCCCTGATTCAACCCCTGTGAAATGTGAGGAACTGCGGTTCTCATCCTACACTGAACGGTCCCGTACAAGAAGCATGGTCATCTGCTCGTCTCTGGTATGTCTTAACAAGCATGTATGTCCACGAAGCTAATATATTCCAGTTAATATGTTTTTGCTTGAATCACAACGTTTTACAATTGGACATTATTATCCGTTATTTATCGGTATCCAAATCAGATGAAATTGCTTTTGGTTCTGTTTAAGTTTACCGATTTTCAGGAAGGCAACTGTGTAAGAATCTATACCGAAACATCGTATCACAATACATGTATATCAAAGAAAATGTTGTCCCTAAAGTATCTGCCATTGTCATTCTGGTAGAAAGTAAAAGCTCGCCATTCTTTCACCGTTTTCGGTATGGTATTTCTGTAGACAGCGCAGTCAGCACTATGACACACGACAGTGGTGTCTCGACGCGGGTCTTACCCAGTATGTTTATCCCAGAAGTAGCCTGTGCCCGACTTGTCCTTCTCGAGGTCGGCTACACTGGTCAGTTCCGTCCAGTGTTGGTTCTCCCATTTCGACTGGCTATCACGATACACTGGCTTGAACTGCCAGATGTGGAACTTGCCATCCCTTGGTAGACACACGCCGAACCTAAGCCATCGACCTCTGGAAACAATGTAGTAGAGGCAACTACAGATATAAAAACGTTCGAAATATCCCATGTTGTCGAAACAGTTAAGTTTATTTCTTTCAACTGTGTGAGTGAGTTTAGTCCATGGCCGCAATATTCCAACAATATGGCAGCGGTCTGTAAATAATCTGTCTGGACCAGACAATCCTGTGATCAACAGCATGAGCATCGATCTACGCAACTAGGAACCGATGACATGTGTCAACCAAGTCAGCAAGCCTGACCACCCGATCCCGTTAGTCGCCTCTTACGACAAGCATGGGTTACTGTAGACCAATTCTAATCCGGATCTTCAGGGGGTCCAGTACAAACGCTTTCAAGGCTATATGACCCATATCATAAACACGCGTAATACACAGTAATGTCACGTTGCACATCAAGGGGATGTATCATGTTTTTCATTCTGATTGGAAATGCAATATTCATAAAATGTGAAAGATGTAATAAGTCCTGCGGTTTTCGACAATTAATTGTAGCGGTCATATTATTGATTTCGTTGTTACAATGAGTACGTCCGTTGGCATGCAAAGGACATACAGTTAGGGCTAGATAATGCAGAATTATGCTCAATGATAAACTTTTGATGTGTCACATGGCAATATTCCAGCAATATCACGGCGGGGGACACGAGAAATGGGTTTCACAAATAGTACCCATGTGCGGAATCGAACCCGGATCTTCAGCGTGATGAGCGAACGCTTCACACCACTCTTCCGTTAATATATTAAGATAGAGTTGAGCAAATGATTGAGTGGGGGCTAGATGAAGGGGTTCAACCCTTTTTAATGCACTCTTGTATCGAACGAGTTTGGTAGCGAGCTGACAAGCTTAGAAACATAACATTATGTGCTTCTGGGATTTCAACCTATGATTACAGTTTCAGTCTCGCCTAAGGGACCCAACCTGGCACAACGATTTACCCGACTTGCGGACGCGCCCAGTCATGGCGAACTTAAAACTAAGATAATCAGAATATCATTTTTCATCGTCTCTCTTCCTTTTGGATTTTAGAATTATAAGCACAATATAGTCAATAATGTCCGTTTGCCTACTTATCAATCCCTTCCCCGACAATATGAAACTCGTGGGGCACGATGCCGCTCCAGTGTAGAGTGTAGCTGTAATGTCCCCCAAGCGTCACCGGGAACGCCGCCGAGTGCGCCCACGTCTCCGTCATCTTAGCAGCAGGGTCATCGTCTCTGATCATGAAGGGGTGTGTCTTGCCATGGTCCCCAGTACTCCCGAGTCGTATCGACAACTGCACGGAGATAGCAGTTAAAGTGTTATTTCTGTTGCACAACACTGTTATAATGGTTTCTTAAATGCTCAAGTGTACAGAGCAATATTCCAGCTATGTGAAGGCTATCCTCAATAGCGTCCCTCGTTTCGCTATATTCAAGAACCCAAAGTTGTTAAAGTGTTCCTCCACGATTTTTCTCAGGTGCATCAAAACTGATTTCGGACGTCCACCCACTCAATCCCACACCGGTTTTGTTTTGCATGTTTGGTGTTTAACGCCGCACACAGCAATAATCCAGCTATATGGTGGAGGTCTGAAAATAATCGAATCTGGACCAGACAATCCAGTGAACAATATTACGCGCACCGATCTACGCAATACGGATACTATGACATGCCATCAACATTGTCACCGAGACTGACCATCCGATCCATAAACTTAATGAATTGAAGCCAATAATTAGTTATACCCACTTGGATTGTCAGTCAAGACGTGATAAGGTAATTTTACGACGATGTCGTATTGGACACAGTCGGTTTACTCATGACTATCTGCTGAAAACGGATGGGGATGGACCTTCTATGTGTGTCCCTTGCGATGAAGTGTTCACCAGCAAGCATACATGTATACTGCCTGACTGTGTGGACTTTTCGACTGCAAGGGATCCACATTATGATGGGAGAATGAAAGATCAATTTCCCCGCGTAAGGGGTCATCTCATTGTTAGCTACCTGAGGGAAGTTGACCTGTACCATAAGTTGTAACCATGTAATGTGAATGACGGGTTGCTTGTTTTTAAATTTGGTGTTATGACATTTTGTACTTGTAAATAATAATATAATGAATATATATATAATATATGTAAAAACAACTCTTTTTTGGACGTTTTATATAAAATGTATATGAATTCAGACTTGATATCGTCACTATATGGCTGGAATAATGCCGATGTGACTTAAAACCCAACTTAACTTAATTCATTCCGGCCACACGACAAGCTCAGGCTACTGATGACATGTATTCTCCCTACGGGCGTATGCCTCAGTGATTGACATGACTTTATTAATACTGACTGACAAATATATCATACCATAGGTATTACAAGTCGACTATTAACATCATCATGTCACCTCGCATTACACGCCAACACAGATAATGATGGTTTGTCTACACCAATACTGTACCCACATAAGGGGGGTATTACTTACAGAGCCGAACTCCTGGGGACATATCTGCATATTCCAGTTGTCCCGCCGGTAGCATCTAGCGTTGTGGTAGTACGACCCTGGCTTCACCACAGTTGCCCCCCGGTACCCAGTTAGGGAACCGTCGGTGTCCCTGATGGTAGCAGTCTTGTCGCCGTCGTCGTTGCCAAACCCGTGGATGGTCTCATTACCGTCATACACTCGGTTACCCGTTGTGGGCTACATACAAGGAGCGAAAATTATCATTACACGTGATTGATGATTGCTGTTGATTGGCTAATGGTCGTATACAAGTCTGGAAAGTTTTTCTCTTGTTTGCAAATAAAGGCGTTTATTCCGAAATCAGAATAGATTGACCTTATGCTAGCCTTTCGGTAGGCTCGTATATTTTATATATTTTATACAATATATATGCTACGGCAACTGCGACAGGAAGGTGTATTACATCATGTCATTTTACAATACATTGACGGATCGCTAGCTCTCCTAAGGAGGTGACAGCACATGGAGCCGTAAAAACAATGTAAACAAACTACAACTACGCACATTGACATTATTTTTTCACAATGTTGATATTTTCTCAATGAAAGTTAACCATTCTATGATACATGTTTATCCAAAAGTGTACACTGATCCAAAATAAACCATGCGGCATATTTATTAGACGGTGTCAAATGTAACAAATCGTGACATGCCGGCTGCTTTGTCAGACGTAGTATGCTGGCTGTATGGAACTCTGGGTGGGAGAGTGGTTTGTCACGTCAAAACGTTAGAGTACTCATTATGGCGTCATCTGTTTTCCTGTCGTGATTGACAATGTTCACGCCATAAGTTACCAGGAACCAACTGACGGACACAGAGTATGGAGAACCTTCATTTGGAACTGAGCGCCGAAATGCACACATAAGCGATATCTACTCGATGTGTAAAATGTACACTGCATCAGACATACAGACATTGGACCTTGGATTGTACAACAGTTAGTTTGGAAACAGCATCGAACACGTGGCTTCTGCGTAACGATCGAACTCACTAAACATGTAGCTATCTCACCGCCTCTTATTTGTGTATAAGGTATGTTTGGATACATCTCATTCATGGCCTTGGCAAAGCATCTGATTCCAAGCATTATGTCGTTTCAATTATATTTTGATTTTATGTTTGTAAAAGTTGTACTTTACCCCGTCCACAAAGTTAAACTTGACATTGGTAGCCATGTTGGATGGAGATGAACTGTATCCGTTGTTTCGAAGGAAGCCTATCGCCCCCGCGGTGTAGTTGACATTGCTGATGAAGTTACTGAACCACACGTTCTTTATATATACAGGACCGTCGTAGAAGAGGAAGCCGTTTAGAGGCTGGTGGCTGTGAACCAGAACAGGTAGTTACTTATCACAGGCTGACTTGTGTATCTTGTGTCATGTCAAGTGATGTACTGTTCAGAGACAACCCCGTCCACCTACTCACGCACTCACTCAGCCGCGCCTCTGACATTCGAACATATGCATTAATACAATCATAACATTAAAATTTGATCAATGAAATTCAGTACAAAACAACAGTTTAATCAACTCACTCTTTAACTGCCCAGTGAAGTTCCAACTACACTTGCTTGTCTTAGCAGCTGACTAACGGGATCTGGCACATTGGATTGAAGCAAGACATCGTATCTCAACTGATCAATACTCATGATGTCAGTCAGTGGATTGTCTGGTCCAGACTCGACTAGTTTCAGACCGCTCTCATTTACCCGACGTATTGCTGCATGCGGCGTTAAACAACAACGTTTCAAAACGTACGTGCTTGTTCCAACATTTGGTAACCGATGTTTGTCTCTCAACTGACAGTGTTCACAATCTCAGGAAGAGGAGATCTTTCTCTTCGAGTTGATTCCTCTTTATCACTGCCCAAATCGGAAATCTCTCGACGCAGGTCACGTCAGGTGAACATTCTACCATCATTACTCAAACACACCATTTACTTACACACTCACAGCGTACGAATTTCACTTACACTATTTTATTTCTGTTTGAGAAAGTAGTTAAGAAATCTAATCATGTAATGTATGCGTTTTGCAGAACACACCTAGCTGATTATAACTTCAATTTTGATATATATCTCGTGCAACTGGTATGAAATTCTGGGAAAACTGGGCTTCCAAACATACCAAGGTTGTCATAAAAGGTAACAGGTCGCATTTCATCTTGTTCATGTTTCTCTTCACTGGTAGTACAGGGTCGACTGTCACTGACATTATGTTGTTGGAATCGTTGTAAATGGGGAGCCGATCTAACCATGCCAGACTGAAAGACACCAGCAACTTACGGGTCATACGGAAGTGGAATACTTCGCGGCATGTCGGTGTATTTGTCGTTGCCAAGGGAGATCCGTGAAGGTTCGCCAAGATTCCGGGATTCGCCGATTACGATGGAGTTGGTCAGCGATTGATCAGCCGCTGCTCTGGATTGAAGAAGACTCCAGTAAGCCCAAAATCCATTTGCACGAAACCGTCATATTGTTCGTTGGTAAGTCAATCACTTTTGTCAGAAGCATGAACGGCTGGGAGTGCCTTGTCATTAATATGGTGACCGACCACACATTTCCAGTTCGTATAGACATATAATGCCGACCATTAACCAATCTAATAAACATAACTGTTAATATGTAATGAACAAATGTAGTTAACGTTAGTCAATACTATATCTTAAAGGCTTGTGTTCAATCTGCATACGCATAGACGACATTGTAATTACATTATGTCTCCCCTATTCTGACTGAAGAGAGCTTCAAGTTGCTTATGATCGTGTTTGCGCACGAAATACAACATACCTAGCCATGGTCAAGCTCCGTCCACTGTCCGCAAACCTGTTGATAAAATAAACACAAACAACATCAAGCCATTACTCATGAGACTTAAGCCTAAGACTGGGGGACAGTTTCAATGAGTGAGTTTCTATATGGCGGCGGTCTGTAAATAATCGAGTCTGGACCAGACAATCCAGTGATCAACAGCATGAGCATCGATCTGCGCAATTGGGAACCGATGACATGTGTCAACCAAGTCAGCGAGCCTGACCACCCGATTCCATTAGTCGCCTCTTACGGCAAGCATAGTCGCCTTGTACGGCAAGCATGAGTTGCTGAAGACCTATTCTACCCCGGATCTTCACCGGTCAGTTTCATTGAGAACTGCGCCACAATAGAGACTATGATGATCAAGTGCTTTGTTGTTCCTGTTTAGCATGATAACTGACATGTTGACTCATACAATATGTTGATTTCATGAGGTATATATTGAATATGAATACCAGCATATTGTAATGACGTGTTATTTGACTGGAACATTACTGTTCACTGTCGACTTGCCGCTAAAAGAGATGGGTGTGTGTATGACGTGATCACTGTTTATTCCGGGTGCTACTTACGATGAATGATCCATCCGTATCAGACCACCCCTGATCCACGCGTTCTGATACTGGTTCTTGTAAGCTGTTGAAACATGTATAGAGATCCATCATAATCCAACATAATAACAGCAGCGACAAAACCTGGTTATCATACAAAATCTCTGCTGAAAGCTTAGTCAAAATACAATTCCGACAATATGTATGTACGTGTTTACATATGGATCGCTATCAACTTGCGATGATATCAGGTGATCGTGAAGAAATACAGAACGACGTTCCATTGGAGACGTCATTAATCAGGATACTCAAACCATGGTCAGGATATTTACGACACTCTCCTTTTAACAGGAATGTCTCATCAGTATTAAAAGGGCTTTGTCGGTATTACTAAATTTATTATTTTTTATTGTTGTTGTTGTTGTTAGTAGTAGTAGTAGTGGTAGTAGTAGTAGTAGTGGTAGTAGTAGTAGGGGTAGTAGAAGTGGTAGTAGTAGTAGTGGTAGTAGTAGTAGTGGTAGTAGTAGTAGTAGTGGTAGTAGTAGTGGTAGTAGTAGTAGTGGTAGTAGTAGTGGTAGTAGTAGTGGTAGTGGTGGTGGTAGTAGTAGTAGTAGTAGTAGTGGTTGTAGTAGTAGTAGTGGTAGAAGTAGTAGTAATAGTAGTACTTAGTAAAAAACGTTAGGAATCAAGAAAAGTTTTAAGTAATACGTGTCAGTAAGATCGATTGTCAACTGATATATTGATATATTGCAATCACGATTTTGTAGATCACCGGAGATGCTTTCATCCCAAGTAGTTGCCTTTTACGTATAGAGCCGTTAAACGCCATTATCTGTATAAGGTGTCATTTAATACTCTGCATGACGTCAATACTAGTTCAAAGGTTTAGTACATAGTAAGAAAGTGGAAGACTTTATACAACACCAATCAGCTGATTACTCTGTGATAATATCCTGCTTGACGCCCCGTATATGTTTGTTTGAAGGAAAACCTTGTGGCACGCGTTCCGCCTATTTGTCAAGTAATTTTAGTTTAATAAAAAGAAGCATCTATGTTTACTGTTTGAGGTAGAACAATTAACTTACCCGTCAGTCTGTAGAGAACAACCTCTTTGAAAGGAGAGGTTGTATTTAGAGGGTCCTCTCTTGCGTCATAGTGATTGTTGTCCCCGACTGACTCGTCCGGCTCGACGATGCCATCCATGAACATCCCCTGGGAGCAGAGAAACAACACCATCAGCAGCAGCCACAGCTCCATGTTGGGGGCAACGTGGCCCAGTCGTCTAGGACGACGCATTTTCACCGAGCAGACTTGTCTGCCTTGGGCACACCAGAACCCTATGATTGCAGGTTCGAACCCTGGACCCCTCGGTATTGTTTCTGCGTTTGCCAGGACAATACCCATGCTAGTGGGTGTCACCTTATTGGTAAATCTCTAACATGGGAAGCACTTCGGGCTCTCGTCCAGCAGACAGGAGCCGTGAAATAACTCACGAGCTTCCATCTAGATTTACAGTACTGGATGTTGATACGGATATCAAGTCCTCATGTCCTTTTGTGCTTGTGATTAATCATGTTCGCATCTCTAGCGACCTACCTGGAAGTTGGAGTGGGCAACGTTGTTGTTGAACTCCAGCAGGGCGGTGTGTTTCGCTTCATTCTTCTGAAAGAATCCCAGACCGAAGGAAGGACCCATTGGCTCATCGGGATACACGTACCATATACCTACACCCTAAAACAATAAACACACGTCGTACTAAAACACAAATAAAAACTCAAAATTTACAACGTTAAAAGTCTGGTCATATTCTATGTGACATGAATAGGTTATTGATAAGGGATGCCGTGAGAAACGACATACATAAATGATGCGGTTTCACAAACACATACGCACACGCCCACACCGTGAGATGTGTGTCTGCACGTGTAATTACGAGGTGATGACAACAGATACAGAAAGCTGCGTACCTCGCCACCGGCGGCGACGTTGTTTCTAAGGTACACTGACGGTGACGTCATCCAGAACGTGGCAGGCTTGCTGTGGAGGGACGTATAATAATATACTGACGTGCATAAGAAAGAACACACCTCGTGTTTTGGGACTATTCCCAATAAAACCATAAATATTTTGCTAGCAATGTTGTAATTGGGTACAATATCCGTGGGGTTTCGGAAACACGTGTACAATGTTTGTGACAAGGCAGAATCAAAACACTTTTTAAATATTAATGCTGTTTTCAAGAAAACATTTTACCAAAGAATCACGTGTGTACTTTCTTTTCAACGTCAGTTTATACGCCACTGAAAGGATGCTGAAGAACACGACAGATTAACCACAGTCACATGAAAAAATGTTTTATGTTTTTTTTGAGTAGTACTTATCATTTAAAACCAATCCTTATGCTACTTCATTCAATTGCAACATTGATATACAATTAGTTTCCTTTCTTGTTTTTGTGTGAACTTGTGTGGCAGTGTAGCCCAGTCTGGCTTTCATGTGTGTACACTGTGTGTAGCCGTAGCATGTCCCTTGGTGTGATATTGCCATCAAAGCAGCTTGACAGCGTACTCACTTTTTACCAGCGGGCGTATACCCTCGCTATACATGCAATGAAGGAACGTATTAGCACATGTTGGCCTCTAGTCCAATAGATAAGCGTTATAATATGCCATGTTAACCAGTAAATAATATAGATGTATGTTTATATCTTGACAGTGACGTACCCATCCGAGGGTAGAATACTGCCCTTTCTGGTTCCTACTCCAAGGTTACCGTCGAAGACGTTCCTCTTCTCTCCGCCGTCTTCCAGGAAGTAGCAGTGACCAAGGTGGTCGTATCCAACATTGTCTTGTACCTTTCAGAAGATACACGTCAAACAGATATTTCTCTGTGCATCTTAAGTGTGTGCTATTACAGAAACCGGAAGTAAATATGAATAACACATATCAGGCGACTAACGGGATTAGCTGCTTGGATTAAATTGCATCGAAACTAACTTGCGTATATTGTCAGGTCCAGACTTGCATATTTACAGACCACCATCATATTGCCGAGTGCGGAGTTAACAAAAATACAACAACTACTGTCACACTACGTGATTTAATTTCGTTTCGTTTAGTTCACGGTAATACTTTTTAGCCAACTGAGAGTTGTTTCCCTTGGTAAACAGTGCGCCAAGACATGGCGAATGTAACTTAATCTTGAAGATTAAACTTTTAAGTTTAATGGACATTCACGTCATCTTTTCGACCAAGGACCAAGCATAACAACTACAACCCATCTACCCCTTTTACTACTGATACGACTACGACTACTGCTAATGAGGTTGTAGGCTGAAGCACTTACTGTAGCACCATGAGTGCCGTGGACGGTGACACAGCGACTGTAGGTGTGGTGTACAGAGCAATGCCGCACCCAGGCCGGGTTGCTATAGTTACCGACGCTGTCGACATCGTGAGTCATATGAAAGTGGATTGGATAGAAACCTGAGAAACAAAGTTGAAACGTTAATTTAACGTTTACCATAGATAGTAATGAAATCATCACAGACTCATATCTAGAGATGTGTCTTTCGTGAATTGCCAGGAAATGAATTTCCATAGAATCTGAGTGTCTGGTTTTGAGAGTGCGACATATATTCTGTGTGGGTGAGGTGAAATTGGGTTTTACGTCGTGCTCGAGAATATTTCGCTCATATGACGACGTGCATGCGTGTGTACGTGTATGTGCGGCTGCTTGTACTAGCCCAGACTTAAGCTGTTTTTTTTTATAGTGCTAGCCCACTGAGATACCATGCCGCAGTGAAGCATGAATACCCCACTCAGACACATTATACTGACTCCGAGCCGACCAGTCCTTGTTGTACCCAATAATGCCGAGCGCCAGGCAGGGACCAACAAGTACCATATTTTAACGTCTTTTGGTATGACGCGGTCGAGATCGAACCAGCGCCCTTCCGCTCTCCGGGCGGACGCTCTAACCACTACACCACGGAGGCGGTCCATATTCTGTGTAAAAACTATAATGACTGTTACCTTTTTCGGACTGTTGTCCCATGTGAGTCAGCTCAACCCCTTGTATGTGGACGTCCTTGAAACCCTTCACAAACTACAACACAAGGTTTTTTTATAAAATTAGTTTCTTTCGTGTGGAAATCTTTACATCCTGATAACTTCAGATTTTGACAGATTGTGTTTTTACCGCAGTATCTGTTTTTACCGCAGTATCTGCAACATAAGGACAACGGTACAATTAATACATTTTGATATATTCATATACACAGCCTTGTGATGATGACAGTAGCATCCAGATTATCTACACACAGGAGAGAAGCTAGCAGTGATGACTGCATTACGTTTAATCAAGAAGGATTTCGGTTTTGCAAAGAGAACAAATTGCGAAGCGGAGAGGTCCAGAAATTGGATCAAGGTATCTGGAATAACAGCGGGATGTTTGATATCATTAGAAGATTGGCTGATAACTGTGACCTCGCAGGCTTTGGATTAGAACTCCCAGCTGGTGGGTGTGCTCGGGTGCGGTGGATTTGCACTTTATGGCTACAGTGACATCGAAACCTATTCCGAAAACGTGTAACTACCCGTGAAGGTCCGGGTTAGAATTGATCATCAGTAACCTATGCTTGTCGTAAGAGGCGACTAACGGGATCGGGTGGTCAGGCTCGCTGACTTGGTTGACACATGCCATCGTATCCCAATTGAGTAGATCGATGCTCATGCTGTTGGTCACTGGATTGCCTGGTCCAGACTCGATTATTTACAGACCGCCGCCATATTGCTGGAATATTGCTGTGTGCGGCGTAAAACTAAACTCACTCACTACTACTACTACTGCTGCTGCTGCTACTACTACTACTACGTCTATGCTTTGGTTTGGTTTTACGCCGATTTTAACAATATTCCAGCAATATCACGGCGGGGGACAGCAGACATGGGCTTCACTCATTGTACCCATGTGGGGATTCGAACCCGGGTCTTCGGCGTGACGAGCCAACGCTTTAACCACTAGACTACCCCACTAAACTCACTCACTCCATCATAACTTGTAACAACGTTTGTCCTGAGTTACCTTGACATGGCCACCATACGTGTCATAGTTATATATATTACAGTTGCGGTTGCTAGGTGGGCACGTGTTCTCCATGCGACCTTCAACCCGGATGTTGCGAGTGAGCAGCGCCACCTCGGCTCTCTGGTCCACCCCGTCCAACATCTCCCCCCAATGTGTGAAGCGCGGCTCCACTGAAACAGACAACAAGGTGGATGTTCAGGGTAAAGGTGCTGTGAAAAATACAGAAACGCTTCGAGCCTTTCACAGAAAGATGGATACTAGACTAGTCCGGTGAATCTGGGGACAAAATTTATGTGAATTCAACATTTCATACACGTACCTCTAAATATCCTATCATTCTTGGGTATTTGAAAAAACCCCAACCATGTTAATCTTCTGTGATTTAAGACATAAAAAACGCGTCGAACCACAATAGTATATATTATCAATGGAAGTTTAAGGATTAGATAGGCACCCATGATATAAAGGTATGACATTTGTAACATAAGCGGTGTACTGGATGTCACCAGCTGACCGTTCTGGTATATCCACAGACCGAATGTACTAGAACATTAAGGCCATGCCGCCTTCACATCTCGTCTTTAATGTGTGTAACACATACACCCGGTTTTTCATTAGTCATTCATTCAAACAGTTATGTGTGACGAAACATGATCATAATAAGGTAAGTCACAGTAAGAATGCGTATCTTTCCGCTTTTAACAGTATTTCCCTTATCAAGGTGTGTCAGCCTGAGGTGAGAGGAAAGCCCGGAGTGGTATAGGTCTCTCAAGCTTACACACACTGGTATGCTGCTGACAGGACTATGTGAGCACTTTGTAACAAAGGCAATGTCTCTAATAATTAAACTGACAGTTATTAATTTGACTTGTGAAATCAATGATTCCTGAAAACGTTTTGACAATAACGGGCTAACGAAAGTACCAAAGAGAAGAGTTTGGCCCGATGATGACTTGTATGCTTTCTTAAAGGCGAAAATGGCCTATCAGACCTTGGTTCTCATGTGCTTGAGGGACTTACAGTCTATCTGGACTTGATTATGGTGACACTTGGCACACTTGATGACAGTTCCCTCCTCTGTCTGGGTCCATTGGTAGTCCGTAGATGTTACTATGACTTTGTCACCTGTGCGTGGTCAAAATTATATACTGCTTTACGAAAACATTCACTGCGACATACTCAAATCACATGACCTAATCACAATGGCCAATTGGATAGAGCGTCTGTCGGAGGGCGGAAAGTCTTTGGATCGACCCGAGGCGTCATACCAAAACAAAAACATGGTACTTGTCGTTACCCTGTCTACTGATTGGCGTTAAAGGGACAATGGGACTAAAGTATATTTCGTCAGAGTAAGGTATCCATATCGGTATGGGTTTGACATGATGCTTACAAATGAAGAGTTATAATCAGTGTGGGTTTAACATGACAACCACAATATGGGGATTCGGTTACGTTACCAAGGGACATAACTCTGCACAGCACATTATTTCGCGTCATCGTACTCGTATTCATAGACCTGTTAAATGAGGGTGTATCTGAAACAATTTTGCTTACCTGGTTGCCATGTCGACACATCGTCTATGACATTCAGGATGGGGTATGCAGCCTGAGTTGACACGACCCTAAAGTCGACGGAGTTCAAGTAGGAGTGTTTGTTGTCTATGTAGCTGCTGACAGAGAACTTCAAACGTCTGTCCCACAGAGTCAGACTGACCTTGGCAGTCTGAGATCGCAGTTTGTAGTTGACACCAATCTTCTGGTCTAACGTTTCCGGCTTCCCTAATTTTCAAACTCGGAATTAATTACGCGTACGTGCATGTTGGAAGTAGTTAGATTGTAGCAGACCTGATTATTAACTTGAAAAAAGCAATGATTTTTTCTTTGGAGAAATATTGCCTGATCTTCCAAATTACATGGCATAACAAAATGAATGTGTATATTCTTGTTTTCGAATACATTTTTATGATCCTAAACTTATTTGAAAAGGAAATTTGAGCCTATAAAAGAAAAATATGATTTTCAAAGATAAAGATACCCCCTGGACTTGTGTATTATGGCACGTTGTGACTTTTTGAGTGTTATTTTTTTAATCCAATTATTATATAAGAAAATATAAACATACAACTAATTATTGCATGCTGACTCCGTAGTGTATTTTTTTGTAAAATATCGGTAAAGTAAGAAATATTCTCAGTATAACGTGTTATATGGATATTTATATATTTAAGATAAATACAGTATTTCATTCCTAAATACAGAATAAATGAGAACAATGATAAATGACATGAATCTAAAATGTAGTATATCTAACTCAAGAAGCTAAGAATTATAAGCTAAAGCATGCACACAGGAGAATTCATATAACTCTTGTGATGAAACGAAAACATCTCCCGTTTAAATGTGTAATCTATATGTCATCAAAAGTAACGATCTGTATGAAAAAAAATGAAAAAAGACTCTTTTAGAAAACCTTCATGACAGTAAATGTAATACCTTTAATCCGTAGTGTGATGACATTACCTTTTTGAATGATGAGAGCGTATGCGTCGCCTTTCCGGACAGATCTAATTAGCCCATTTCCGGTCACGTGTCCATCAGTAAGTGTCTCCACAGCCTCGTATACAGGTGTCAGATTGACCCGTGGCTCGAACAGGTTCGTCTTGACACTCAGTTGGACAATGTCCCCATCCTTTGCACCTGGAAACGTTGGAGGAAAGAAAATCCGGTAAATATTTGAATGTAACTATAAGCAATAGGCGATGCTAATCACTTTCCATAATGGATATATGGTACCTGTTAACAGGCAATTATTTACCATTCAGAAGCAGCTTTTGTGTGATGTTTGTACTATGTTACTCTTACTATTAATGAACTGTGCCAGAGACGTTGGATCTCTCGGGGAATAGTAACTGTTGTACTCTCCCAGAATGAAGCTTGCAAAGTCGATCACGTGACCATTTCTTCCATCCATGACGTAAGCGTGGATGCCCTTCTTCCAACTCCCATCAGAACTGTGGTTGCTTGTCTGTCGAGAAGTAAGACGTTCAAACATTTAGCGAGTGAGATTCTGTGGCGAGATAGTACGTTATCGCCGAGAGAATCCCAAAGGTGAGATAAGCATATATCGACGAGTGAGATTCAAGATCGAGGCAAGCTTTATTGAGGAGAAGTCCTATTCCATGGTGAAAAAGCACGTGTAGACGATTCCGATTTATGATCGAGATAAACGTGTATCAAGTAATCAGCTTCAAGGGTGAAATTATATATCATCACAAAAGTCATTTTCAAGCTGAGGGTAAAGGGTACAATTAAACATTTGTGACGTCCTGGAGACCGATGACGTCACAGTGATGCGAACGCTGCACAGTACTCCTTCCCTGCAGACACCATAAGGCACAAGGTGGGGGAAACAAGGTTACCAATTTGGATCTTGAAAGGCACCACTGAGCACTGTCAAGTCAAACGTGAAAGGAATTCAAGGGGATACCCCGTCGGTGTCATCACGGCCCTTCCTATTTGGTCCCAGTTTGGTGGGTCGCTCACACTAACTGGCATCTGGTCATAACGCGGGATAATGACAATGGCCCTGGCTAGATAGCTAGGGTGTCGTTTCCCTTTAACAGTTAACTGGAATACTTACCTTGTGTTCGTAGTGCAGTCCATTGGCGCTGGTCAGTTTGGGCAGAGTTCTGGTCAGTTTAGTCCAGGACAGCTTCTCTCTGCCATGAAGTTCCAAGGTGCCACCCGGAGCCACCCCGATGAACTTCTCCCCGAACAGGTGAGGTCCCATGACGTATCTGTACTTGCCACGGATGCCTGTTGTGTGTGAAACGTGTAACTCTGTGATTGTGTAACCATGTAGGTGATGTCACATAACGACACGATGTGAACGTGATGGCATCATGGCAACCATTTAACATACATACATACATACATACATACATACATACATACATACATACATACATACATACATACATACATACATACATACATACATACATACATACATACATACATACATACATACATACATACATACATACATACATACATACATACATACATACAAGGCGCTCTGAGTCCACGCTGGAGCTAAAGGTAAACTTTGGTAAAAAGATGAGTCTTTAACTGGCTTTTGAAAGACGCACGTTCAGTCAGTGATCGAAGTTCTTGTGGTTGTTCGACATGTTCTCTAGTCCTTGATACTATTGGTGATTTTATTGATGTAAGTCGAGTCCTAACTGTGTAGATAGATGCGCATAAAAGTCAATCACTGACAGATTATCTACACACCGCCGCCATAGAAGTTTGAATAGAGTGTTTAGCCTTAGGCTACACACTAAAGTGAGTGAGTGACTGGGTCGGTGGGTGAGTGAGTGAGTGCACAGGGTTTTTGTAACTTTTAGTAAGTTCTATATTTCAACGAAATCAAAACTGGAAGTCGGCATAACGTTTTAATCATATCAGTGTAGTCTGGATACCTGTAAGAGTGATGTTGGCTTTCCTGTGAAACTTGCAGTCATCACTGCCGATGTCAAAACGCCCCTTGATCAAAATGTACTGGGTGGTCAGGCTGTAATCTCCATCCGGGCTCCACACTAGACGCCCGTTTGTTTCTATGGTGACGCTGTGTAGTTCCGGTGGGGATTCGTCCAGCAGGATGGCATCATTGATGAAAACTCGAGATTGTGCACCAGGTTTCTGTGAATGTGAAAAGGAATTTATCGACTGGTATGTCGCCGTGTATACATTCAAATGTAAATGTATAAATCTCATTTTACAAGCATTTTGCTGAAAATAACATGTCAAATTCACCACATTGTAAAAAAGGTGTATCTGTTGAGGTACATGCAAAACATGTACCCGTCATTTAGCAAACATCAAGTTTAGTAAACTTGGTAACTTTAAAAATCAATTGATTTCGTTGTTGATAAGCCGCTGGCAACTGCTCAAAGATGGCACGTTACTGGTATGCGGAATGCTGGCATGACCTAAAGGGGTATTGCATGTAATGTTTGTTGTCATCCATCCACCTTCACTCGATTTCCCAGAAACATTAGCACACCAATGAAAGGTCGTCAGGATTCATGTCGACCTCAAGTGAGAATCACAAGACAGAATCACAAGGCTTCATCGGTTCATGTAAAGTGGCTTCAACGTCGTCGTTTGTTGAACAGAACGATCCGAAATCGCCTATAAACCACCCTAAGACGTCCGTTGAAATCCCCAGATACGTTGCATGACTTTGGCGAATGTTTAGGATAATTAAGTCGCAGAATACTCCGGAAAGAACTTCCTATAGAAATACGTGATGTATTGAGACAAGCATGGGAAGAATGGAACACCCAACAATCACATTCGTCAGATACAGCCATTGAGGTGGGAGGGACATGTATGTTATTGCAGTTGGCGGAGTTTACACCGGATAGTGACATAGTGTTCGGTCATTGATACTCAATTGTTGCCATGTTGCTTATCTGAATAACTTACGATCTCGTCCTTTTAGATTTGCTATGTCATCTTTATTTAAATCTTAATAAATCCCAACAGTAAGTTAGATTGTGGTTCATAATAAGTTTCCTAGCTATGGCTAATGGTAACATATTGATACGGGCTGTGAATAAACGGTTGTGTAATATATGGCATAACGTAAACAGCAGAAAAACAGAACTGGCTTCACTACGATTTAATACAGATATTATATCCGACAGGGAGGATGCCATAGACATGTGATTAACCTGCATCTGTGACTAACGGTCATGAAACGAGGAACCACCAAAACCCCAAACACAATATGTTAGGAAAGGGCGTTTCAGTGCTACCCAATCTAAAAGACTAAAGGACCAATCAGAATCCTAGTTCGTCATATTGTTCGGCTGGTATTACTATCATCATGGAGGCCATCCCCATGTTTACAAATGGGTTTATGTTTGAAAAACAAATGTCTAACAAGGAAAAGAAAGCTCTCAAAACTCGTTTTTTTCTCTGGAAAGGATAATGATCATGTTACCTCCAATTTCCTGTTTCCTCTTATCTGGAAATTTGATTGGTCGGTACAATATGAATACAAATCAAAGGCAGGTAAGTTGAGATCTTGAGGAATGGACCCAGGGATTAGTGTAGGGGGATCTATATGCAACTCAGTAGGTATAGAGGATGGTCCAGAGACGGAATGAGAGGTATACGCCAGGTTCACAAGTCAGCCTCACGACATGAATAGAAGAGATTGAATGTGTCCAAAGCCTCGGTGATTATAAGGTGCTTCATATACGTATATCCATCACTCCCTCGTTAACAGGGCGCATTTCAAATGTATTATTTTGGGATGTGTCTGAGCTATGAACAAAGTTAAACGACGCTTATTCATTAAGAAAGGAATAACAGAAACACATAGAAATACACACTGAATTCATATTTTCATATTACATCACTAAAGAAGAAGCGGAGACAGCATCAACTCCAGGATGAGTATAAGGTGAAGGAACTGTACTCCTTAATACAACAACAGTTAAGTTTGTGAAATGAATGATAGCAGTACATTTATTCTTCTTGACAAGAGTCTTGTCAGATAGTTAGATCATATGCATGTGTGTATATTCCTACGTAGATTTCAGCCTGTTATAATGATTCCATACAATAGTTCGCTAATTATATAATTCTCTCGTAGAACAATCTTCGTACGATGTTTACATGATGGCTGGTGGAGAATTGTCGCACAGAACCTATCGTTTTTAAGATGATGTTTTTGATTACTGACAGGGACATGGTAATAACCCGTGGGCTTGTTTGAGGTTATTCCATGCTAAAAGGGTCTTGGCTGTGACTGCCAAGTCACAAATATTGACTGTTGAATCCCGCGTGCATGTTATGCAGCTACATTTGAATACATGGTCGACTGCGATTGTTAGTGGTGTGCCTGTTAAACGCTCACACCAGAATGACAAGATTAGGAGAGGAGCGAGGAGGAGCTTGTGGAGTGTCGCAGATGAGGGCCTCGAACAGCCATATTCAGCTTATAAATGGACTTATAAAATCAGCCATGACACTGATGATGATGATGATGATGATGATGATGATGATGATGATGATGATGATGATCGCCACCAGATGACAAATGTGTGCTTCCCAGTTGCAAGATGGAGACGTCAGCTCCGTTATTCCATTGTTGGAATGACGTCAAGCAAAAGGGCAACCATGAATCAATGGAACAATAGGAACGAACTGCCCAATCTGTTTCAATAAAAAATAATATTTTTTGGTGAAAAAACTGAACCTGTATATCTGTACCCCAGCGGGTGAAACTAATCTTAAATTTATATTAGTTCGTAACCTATCAACGATCAGTTCACCTTATTCCCCGGCCAGCTGGATGCATGGGACCATCTTCTGAGTCCCGGCGTCTGATGAGGACATACACAGAGGACAGAGCAGGACAGGCTGCCCCACACAAGGAACAAGACGATTGTCCTCATGGCCGTGAATCTAAGAACACATTGACGATAGGAATCACTATATATCGCCAGAGGTGACCTTCTCTTATCTTGTAGGTCACAAATTCCAATCCACGGAAACAGTAATGCTGACCTCACATCACAAAAACTCCTTTCACAAATTCTTTCCGTTCTTATCGGGCATTTTTTTTAAAAAGAAAAGAAAAAAGAATTCACTCTGTTTATTTTTAGAATCCAGCCTCGGCTATAGGTAACGTTCCTCCAGAAAAACACAAAGCAGAACAAAAAATGATAAACATGATAGATGAATAGAAACAAGAAACACAAGGCAATAAATAGGCAGGACATTTCTGATATTGGACATCTGAACAGAGTGCTTTTAGATTTTATCATGTTGGGAGTCCCACAACCGGTTATGGAAGAGGGGTTTTGCTTATAATTATCACTAACAATGTCTGGTATGCTAATATTCATCAACAATCAATTCGTGACCTCTGACCCAATTTTAAACTACAATACTGTCGGTTTTGATGACGTCATGTAATGAATCCAATTCAAAGGGCTATGAAAAACGCATATATGAAATATCACAAATGAACTTAGTTAAAGCATATGCTACTGACAATACAAGGTGAAACTTGATGTGTCCTCATACATGTATGATACTGCCCATTGCCAAAAATACCTAACACCTGTTCCGTGGTGCTGACGTCACACCGGCCAGCGTATTCTCACGGGAGCAAATGGTCTCAAAACATTGCTGTTATTGTACTTAGTAGAGATATGTGTGGACGTGGTTATCACTTGAAATATGTGCTGCGTTCTTGGAAACATAGCACACTTATTAAAAGATATTAACTGAATATGCTTTGGAAGGAAGGGGGTTTCGGAATCAAGAAGTATTTGCTGTTTTGGATAATTTTAGGATTTCTTCAGGCAGCATCTAACTCAGCTGATGACGTTCCTGGATCACCATTAGGTATTATAACTGGAGCTTCAAGACTGAGGACGATCCTGGATCACCTTTAGGTATCACAACTGGAGCTTCAAGGCTGATGACATTCCTTGATCACCATTAGGGATTATAACTGGAGCTTCAAGACTGATGACGTTCCTGGATCACCATTAGGTATTATAACTGGAGCTTCAAGGCTGATGACATTCCTTGATCACCATTAGGTATTATAACTGGAGCTTCAAGACTGATGACGTTCCTGGATCACCATTAGGTATGATAACTGGAGCTTCAAGGCTGATGACGATCCTGGATCACCATTAGGTATCACAACTGGAGCTTCAAGGCTGATGACATTCCTTGATCACCATTAGGGATTATAACTGCAGCTTCAAGACTGATGACGTTCCTGGATCACCATTAGGTATTATAACTGGAGCTTCAAGGCTGATGACATTCCTTGATCACCATTAGGTATTATAACTGGAGCTTCAAGACTGATGACGTTCCTGGATCACCATTAGGTATTATAACTGGAGCTTCAAGGCTGATGACGATCCTGGATCACCATTAGGTATCACAACTGGAGCTTCAAGGCTGATGACATTCCTTGATCACCATTAGGTATTATAACTGCAGCTTCAAGACTGATGACGTTCCTGGATCACCATTAGGTATTATAACTGGAGCTTCAAGGCTGATGACATTCCTTGATCACCATTAGGTATAATAACTGGAGCTTCAAGACTGATGACGTTCCTGGATCACCATTAGGGTATTATAACTGGAGCTTCAAGGCTGATGACATTCCTTGATCACCATTAGGTATTATAACTGGAACTTCAAGGCTGATGACATTCCTTGATCACCATTAGGTATTATAACTGGAGCTACAAGGCTCATGGCGTTCTTGGATCACCATTAGGTATTATAACTGGTGCTTCAAGGCTGATGACGTTCCTGGATCACCATTAGGTATTATAACTGGAGCTTCAAGACTGATGACGTTCCTGGATCACCATTAGGTATGATAACTGGAGCTTCAAGGCTGATGACATTCCTTGATCACCATTAGGTATTATAACTGAGCTACAAGGCTCATGGCGTTCTTGGATCGCCATTAGGTATTATAACTGGTGCTTCAAGGCTGATGACGTTCCTGGATCACCATTAGGTATTATAACTGGAGCTTCAAGGCTGATGACATTCCTTGATCACCATTAGGTATTATAACTGGAGCTACAAGGCTCATGGCGTTCTTGGATCACCATTAGGTATTATAACTGGTGCTTCAAGGCTAATGACGTTCCTGGATCACCATTAGGTATTATAACTGGAGCTTCAAGACTGATGACGTTCCTGGATCACCATTAGGTATTATAACTGGAGCTTCAAGGCTGATGACGATCCTGGATCACCTTTAGGTATCACAACTGGAGCTTCAAGGCTGATGACATTCCTTGATCACCATTAGGGATTATAACTGGAGCTTCAAGACTGATGACGTTCCTGGATCACCATTAGGTATTATAACTGGAGCTTCAAGGCTGATGACATTCCTTGATCACCATTAGGTATTATAACTGGAGCTTCAAGACTGATGACGTTCCTGGATCACCATGAGGTATGATAACTGGAGCTTCAAGGCTGATGACGATCCTGGATCACCATTAGGTATCACAACTGGAGCTTCAAGGCTGATGACATTCCTTGATCACCATTAGGGATTATAACTGCAGCTTCAAGACTGATGACGTTCCTGGATCACCATTAGGTATTATAACTGGAGCTTCAAGGCTGATGACATTCCTTGATCACCATTAGGTATTATAACTGGAGCTTCAAGACTGATGACGTTCCTGGATCACCATTAGGTATTATAACTGGAGCTTCAAGGCTGATGACATTCCTTGATCACCATTAGGTATTATAACTGGAGCTACAAGGCTCATGGCGTTCTTGGATCACCATTAGGTATTATAACTGGAGCTTCAAGGCTGATGACATTCCTTGATCACCATTAGGTATTATAACTGGAGCTTCAAGACTGATGACGTTCCTGGATCACCATTAGGTATTATAACTGGAGCTTCAAGGCTGATGACATTCCTTGATCACCATTAGGTATTATAACTGGAGCTACAAGGCTCATGGCGTTCTTGGATCACCATTAGGTATTATAACTGGTGCTTCAAGGCTAATGACGTTCCTGGATCACCATTAGGTATTATAACTGGAGCTTCAAGACTGATGACGTTCCTGGATCACCATTAGGTATTATAACTGGAGCTTCAAGGCTGATGACGATCCTGGATCACCATTAGGTATCACAACTGGATCTTCAAGGCTGATGACATTCCTTGATCACCATTAGGGATTATAACTGCAGCTTCAAGACTGATGACGTTCCTGGATCACCATTAGGTATTATAACTGGAGCTTCAAGGCTGATGACATTCCTTGATCACCATTAGGTATAATAACTGGAGCTTCAAGACTGATGA